TTGTTTCTTGCAGTGAATTGGTGCTTATACTTGATATTGCAGTATTTGCATCTTTTAATGCTTGTGCTAGCTGTTTCTTTGGAACAAGCTTCAATGCAGGTAGCCTTATTCTGTTGTTTTTGTGCTGTTCTAGATGCTCAGTTATTCTTTGTTTCAATTCTTTTATTTCTTTAGTTAGAGGGTTTTGTTCTTCCTGAGGAAGAGGTGCCTGGTTTCCAAATGAGAACAGTTGTATATCTCTGCTAGATTCCTTCACTGCCAACTCCCCCTGGTTTGCCTCTACATTCTGAATTACTTCTGGTAAGGCTTTGATTTCTTTGCCCTGGGTAAACCTTTGCAGTTCGTCCAATTCTGTTTCTGTGAATATTTTATTTCGTGTTATAAATCGGCGTTGATCTGCTAGTCTCTGTTCTGTTATTTCTGATTCTGGATGTTGTTCTTTCCAGAACTGGTGCATTCGTTTTAGATATCCTCTTCTTGTTGGACTTGATCTGTAGTAACAGATCATTATTTCTTTGTTTTCCATCACTGTGTATCTGCGACGGGTAAACACCTTTTCTTCCAGTAGTTCTGCAGCTGCTGGCCCTGGTTGCTCAGCCAACAGTCCTGAGTCCTGTAACCCATTTTTCACCAGATATCCAGGAACTCCAATATCTAGTGCGGACCTTGTTAACCCGGGCGACGTCCGAGCCGGTATGGCATTCTGAAATTTACGTCTCACCATATTTTTTATGGGAGAGACACTCTTTGTCTGACTCCTCTGATGAGACCTGTCCAGTATGGTTGAACCTCTGGCATAGCTCTCATCTTCCTCAGAGTATACAAGCCCCACAACCACGTCAAGGTATTATTATTATTATTATTATTATTATTATTATTATTATTATTATTTATTGATGCCACTTCCACACCACCCAATTTCCCTCCATCTTCATAGGAAATGGGAATTTATCACTTCCCCATTCAGTCAGACTCTGAGCATTGTAACAGGGTTAAACATCAGAGAAACTGATGGAACCAACTCAGTTAGTTCTCCAGCTGTGGGAATATCTCTTTGGTCCAGGACTAGCTTTTATGTACCTTTATCCAAAATTGCATGACTCAGCATGTTTTGCATGATCATTATCATCTCATCAAACTTTTTAGAGAGACTTTCACCTACAAGCTGCATATTGCCCAGCCATCTTTTCTTAGGTTCCAACCATTGTTCAGCCATTCCTTACTCTATGAAACTTACATAGGGAACAAAGAACACGGAAACTGAAGGAAACTGGAAGAATTTTTCCTGATTATTTAAATACAAAGAAAACACATAAAAGAAAATACATAAAAGATAAACTCACAACTATTTTGCAAATTCGAAAAGTCCAGAAATCCTATGATGAGAGTCTGCTACCCACAGCAGACTTTTGCACTCTTGTTGACAACAACAACAATAATGTTGGAAGGGACCTTGGAGGTCATCTAGTCCAACCCCCTGCTCAGACAGGAAACCCTATATCAGTGGTGGTGAACCTTTTAGAGACTGAGTGACCAAACTGCAACCCAAAATCCATTTAGATATTGCTGGGTGCTAAGTGGGCATGGCCTGCTGGATGGGCATGATTATGATGGTCATGACAGACTGGGTGGGTTTGGCAGGGTGGGCGTGGCCAGCTCAATGTTGCTCCTGGGGCTGGATGGCTCTGGGGGCTGGGCAGGGTTGGGGGAGATCCAGGGGGTCTCTGGTGGGTGGGGCAGTGGGCAGGATGGTGTCTTGCTCAGCTGATGGCTTGGGGGGAAGGGGGCAGCTACATCCCCTCCCAAATGCTGCCGTCTCACGAAAGCAGGATGAAAACTCCCAAAAGTGACAAGGAAAACAAGTTAAAACAGAAAAGTGTCTCATGATGGTTTTCTTCCCTGGGGGGCAGGGGGCATGGGGGGAAGCTCCTGAGCCCCACAGCTCTTCCTAGAGGGGGAGGAGGAGAGTGGGGAGGGGCTGTGCTGGGATCGGGACTCTCCATGCCTCCTGCTGCCCACCTACCATTTTTCCTGGGGCAGCTGCTGCCATCCTACACTCTCCAGTGTGCCGCCTGCCAGCCGGGTGTGCCAAGCTTGGGCCTCAGGCAGATGGAGGCTGGAGGGGAGCGAGAGCCATGGCTGTTCATCTGTGCTCTTCTGCTGCAGATTTCATGGCTCCATTTGCCTGGCAGGGCGGGGGCACACTTGCACATAGGGACACATATGGGGCTGCTGCCTTGCTTTCCATGCCATGCCTATGCTAGACTGGGCTGGTCACTGAGCTTGCTTGCTGCTTCTTCTCCCATGGACATCAGGAGTGCCCACCCAACCTATCGTTTGTCCCAGGGCAGCTGCCACTGGCTCATGCTCTCCAGCCCATCGCCAGCCAGCTGGGCATGCCAGGATGCCTCCTTTTGGGCTCCCTCGGCCTCTCCCCCCCTCCAGGCTGGGGCTGGTCAGATTCCCCCCATGGGCAGCGCTGCGCCCGTCCCCAGCCAGTCCTCCTCCTCCATCTTCCTATTCCTTCTATGGGTGGACTGCGGCTTAGTCAGCTAGGTGGTGCCTCTCCCCACATGCACCTTCAGGTGGAGGAGCCGGGCAGCCATAGCAATCATTCCCCTCTGGCCTCCACTTGCCCGAGGCCCAAGCTTGGCATGTCTGACTGGTCAGCAATGGGCTGGAGAGTACGGGATGGCAGCAGCCACCCTGGGATGAGGGGTAGGCAGGGTGGGTGCTCCTAACGTCTGCAAGGGAAGAAGTGGCAGCGAGGCTCTGCACCCAGTCCAGCCAGCCCCGGCATGGCATGGCATGGCATGGAAAATGAAGCAGCAGCCTCCAATGTGTCCCTGTGTGCAAGTGTACCCCCGCCCTGCCAGGCAAGCAGAGCCATGGCTTCTGCAGCAGAAGAGCACAGGTGGGTAGCTACCGCAACTCTGCCTGCCTGGCAGGGCAGGGGCGTACTGACGCACAGAGATGCACAGGGAGCTGCTACCTCTTGGGTACCCAGCCCACATGTTGGGGAGAGAAACTGATGGCACAGAAAGAGGCTGACCTTTGGGTGGTACGCCGGCTGCACTCAGGATGCCCAGAGCGAATAATGGCTTCAGCCTTCCACCTTCACAGCTGCACAGGTTTCCGTCTGATCAATCCAATGCACCCAAAGGGGAAAGGGGTGGGAGCCTCTGGGCAGAGGCTGCAAAAGGAGGAGAGGACCCCAGAGCGGGCAGCACAGGGCCATGTGGCGGGATGATCTGCCAATTCCCCGCCCAGCAGGTGGGATCACAGACCAGTCGAGGGCAGGGAAGCCATTGTCCCTGTCTTTGGCTGGGCAGCCAAGTGGAGGCCATGCAAGGAGACCCTGGAGCAGGGAAGCCATTGTTGGAGTGCCGTGGATCATGAGCCACCACTGAGGAGGATTGAGGATGAGGGCTGGCTGGGGATGGGCACAGCGCTGCCCATGGGGGGAATCTGATCAGCCCCAACCTGGAAGGGAGGAGAGACCAAGGGAGCCCAAAGGGAGGCAGGTGTGGTGCTCAGGGGTAGCTGCTTTCTCTCCCTCCCTCTGGGCTCCTGCCGAAGGGCTGACTGGCTTCGGCATCACCCTGCACAGGCCTGTCCATGCATCTGCCCAGCGGTGCTGGCAGGCCTGGCCTTCCTTCCTTCCTTCCTTCCTTCCTTCCTTCCTTCCTTCCTTCCTTCCTTCCTTCCTTCCTCCTCCCCCCTCCTTTCTTCCTCTCTTTCTCTCTCCCTTTCTCCAAAGTCCAAACTTACATGTTCGCCTTCCCCTGCTAGCCTTCTGCAAATCATGCAAACAGACGCCACGTCCTACTTGTCTTCTCGAAACCCATGTCCACCATCACTTCCAAAAAACGTCTGCTCGTTTACTTGCTTTCTCGCTGCACTCCCATCAAAACCTGCTTTTATACTGGTTCCCCTCTCCCTACCCAGCTCTTGCAGTTGTTCCCACAAGAGCGCTGCTGAATTTGGTTTTCCTGCCCTCTCCAGTTCCCACAGTTATGCTATGTGGAGAGGGGGGAGGGAGCGTCCATCTGGTGCATATGCCAACAGAAAGGGCTCTGCGTGCCCAATCTGGCATGCATGCCATCGGTTCGCCACCATGAGGTTAGACTATGGAGTTAAGCAAGCCTTTCTCCTGCTGGTTTCTGGAGGGCTTTCTCCAAATGACTGGATTGACCGCCATCTCTCCACAGTCCATGGGGCTTTCCTCCTTCTTTGTCACCTCTCCAGGGCGGCTTCAGACCCATTTAGGGTCCCCTAACAGGCAGAAATTGGCTGTAGAGTGCGGAGCCTGGTGACCCCTTGACTGCAGCACTACTACACAAAACCAGAAGCCTCAAAATTTGTATGAATTTTACAATAAGGCATTATTTAATGAACATGTTCTTCCTTTGTGTCACTGTTTTTTTAAAAATGTGATTACATATTAAATATGCCATAATAATAAATGTAAATGTGACCTATCACTGCATTGGTTAGAAATTCTTGTTCTTATCATATTTTCTTTACAATTAAGATGGGGCCTGAATAGGATAATGTACTGAAGGCCACTTTAGCTGACTGTTTTCAGCAGGTCAGCGGTTCAAATCTCACCGGCTCAAGGTTGACTCAGCCTTCCATCCTTTCGGGGTAGGTAAAATGAGGACCCAGGTTGTTGGGGGCAATGTAAATATATATATACATTGCTTACTGGTGTACACCACTTAGAGAGTGTTTGCACTTAAAGCGGTATATAAGTCTCATAAATAAATAAATAAATGTAGCATTTCGGGAAAAAGATGCAAGCGAAGAGACCAGTCCCAGAGGCCAAGATGGAGAAGATCTCCACGGCCACCATAAATTTCCCTTTGGTGCGCTGATATTAATTGACAATAAAAACATTGGTGTTTGTTGCTGAGCCACAGATACCTTCTGATTGAACATTTTTAAGAAATTAAATCAAATACAAAAGTCAAAATAAGATTTCCCAATCCCTACATAAATCAGAGATTCTTATTCCTCATTATATTCTCTCTACAATTCAGATTGGGCCTCAATAGGATAATGTAGCATTTGGGAAAAAAGATACAAACCAAGAGAGCAGCCCCAGAGGCCAAGATGGAGATGATCTCCACAACCACCATGGACTTCCCTTTGGTGCTCAAATAACTGGGAAGGAAGGTGATCCAAACACTGCAAAAGACCAGCATGCTAAAAGTAATGAACTTGGCTTCATTGAAACTATCAGGCAATTTCCTAGATAAAAAGGCCACTGTGAAACTGATGAGGGCCAAAAAGCCAAGGTAGGCAAAGACAATGAAAAACATTGAAGCTGAGCCTTCATTACATTCCAAGATGGTCTCACCAATCAGTGAGTGGAAGTCCAAGTTTGGAAATGGAGGAGAAGTTCCCAGCCAGATGGCACAAAGAACTGCTTGGACCAGGGGACAGGCTAAGACAATGGAGTTGGTCAGTGGTTTACCTAAGAGTTTCCTGGTGCTGTTCCCTGGCTTGGTGGATATAAAGGCAAGAACCACCATGACAGTTTTTGCTAACACAGAAGAAACTGCAAGGGAAAAGAGAATGGCAAAGGCAGATTGTCGGAAGAGACAGGTTAACTTCTTGGGTTGCCCAATGAAGAGGAAGGAGCAGAGGAAGCAGAAAAGAAGGGAGACCAGGAGGGTGTAAGTGAGATCTCGGTTGTTGGCCTTGACAATTGGTGTGTCACGATGCTTAAGGAAAATCACCAGGACTGCCAATGTGATCACAGAGAGAAAAAGTGTGAAAGAGACTAAGGTTAATCCCAGCGTCTCTTGATGGGCAAGGAAGTGGAGCTTCTTGGCAATGCACTGGTGCTTGTCCTTGTTGGGGTATTGATCTTCTAGGCAAGAGTCACATTCAGCTGCATCTGAAATGAAGAATCTTTTTCTAAGAATTTCAAGGGCATCTGCCATCAGCATTATCTCTCCCTGAGGGATGACATGACTGTTCCCTTTCTGTTGTAGACAACCCACAAAGGTAGTGATGGAATGATTTACAATGTACATTATGGGGCAATAAAAAGGAAAAATCCTCCTTAATCAGAATAGAACTGGAAGGGATGTTGGAGGTCTTCTAGTCCAGTACCCTGCTCAAGGATGATCTGCTCAAGGATAGAATAAAATGGAGTCGAGTTCATTTTTGCTTAAGGGACAAGTTGGAACTGATAATATCACTTTCCTGGGAGATTGATAGTGATGAGAAAAGAAGCATGAAAATAAAAATTTGGGCTACCTACCCCATTCATTTAGGAAAAGATTGCTGGTTGGCTTTCCACACAGGGTATGACAGTAAGAGTGGAAAGGCTAGTAGGAAACTCATTAATTTTGCTTTGAAATTACCCTGCATTAAATTGGTGAGCAGTGGGAGAGGTCTGTGGGGGAAAGGACCCTTTAGATCCATAAACCAAAATGTTCTGTTGAAAATTATGATGTTTGGAAGCATGTGAATCATACCAAAAATGACAACAAAATTAATAGTTTGATTAACTGAATGGCCTCCTATATCCCAAAATCTACATTTTAATACCTGTCTGATTAGAAATGGTCCCTTCTGGACAAGGGTTACATTGATAGCAGCAAACCTGCTTGCCCTCAGGAACGCTTCTCCTCTCTCCTTCACTGCACCTCTTCATGCCACATCTGGCAAAGGGCACTTCCTAAATGAGAAAAGAGTGATTCTTCAGATGGTCATTATTTCTTTTTTTTTTTTTGTAATTTATTGTATCAATTTTTTAAAACATAAATCACTTCATAATTGGTGAATAGTGAGTTGTCTGGGTTTACATTTGTAAAACAATCACTAACAATTGATTTCTATAATCCATAGTCCATAGTTGATTTCCTCTTTTCCCCAAAATATCCTCTTTTGCAAACATTGAGTTAATACAATTCTTATTGTTTTGATAGATAACAATTATATATATATATATATATATATATATATATATATATATATATATATATATATATATGTTTTCTGAGGTTTTCGCGGGTATTTGTATATAGCCAGAGTTTGGGTTTGTGATCCGATTTTTCTAGAGCTTGGGTTTCAAAGTGTTCCATGTAGAGGTTGGCAATGACAGGTGAGAGGGGTGATCCCATGGGTGCTCCTTCTGTTTGTTTGTATTTTTGTCCGTTATAGATGAAGTATGTGTTGGATAGGCAGTGGTTGGTCAGATCTAAGATGTGTTTGGGGGGGTTATATTTGTTTTGATTATCAGAGAAGCCATCGAGATAGAAAACGCCCACACAGCATGAACAAGCGAGATGATACCTCCCGCCTACCAGCCATTTGGAAACCTGCCCTTATTGACAAACGACTCCCTAACCCCAAAATCTTAAACCCCTCTGCAACTCAGACTAACCTGAGCACAACCAAACAGAACACTCCCCCAGCCAATCAGAGCACAGCCAAGCCCCTAACCATTCAGAACACACCTCCACCCAATCAGAACACAGCCAAGCTCCCACCCAATCAGTTCATACCCTCACTGGCAGTTAAAAGGAAGAAACAGCTAAAACCACACATTGCTGCTCAAAGCAAGAAGCTAAAAACACCAGCCTGAAGATGACGAATGTGACTTCGTCGAAACGTTGCCAAGACACTTCCAATTTTACGCGGGAGAAAACCCGAACAACCAAAGACCTATATACAAATACCCGCGAAAACCTCAGAAAACAAATATCGAACCTCTACGGGGAGGAAATCCACCATCTGACCAGGACCTATGAAAAACTTGAAGTCCAAAGAGCTTCCATTTTATGTGACCTCGCATTCCTACGTAACTGCCGAGATCAAAATCTAATCCCCACATGTTTCCAACTGAAATTCCACTCCAACTCTGCAGCCACCAAACGGATCCTGAAAAGAACAGAATTGGCCCTAATCAGAAATGAACTTCACACAAAAAGATTCCTCCTAGACCGAATTAACAAAGATCTCCTCACACTCCACCTCAAACTCAGCAACAAGATCCACCCCGCACTTTGGGACAAATCCAAACAACTCGCCGTCTGGAGAGCCGAAACACAGACCACCCTCAAGACAGATACACACACCAACAAACTCCGAAGACTACAAGAACGCCAGAAACAAACCCCTCCTCCCTCACAGCCACACATGAAACAAACAGTGCATAACATCTCAGATAGGATCCTCACCAAAGCCGAAACCAATGTCCTTTCCAAAGGATTCAACTTTGCAGTCGCTCCCAAACACATCCCCACTGAAACCATTATATGTGAAGTTGAAACCAGCCTGACCAAAATCAACCCCGATGACGCTAACAAAATCAGACTCAAAATCACCAACATCCTCTGCACCAGCAAGCCACCCAAAAGCAACTTACCCAAAGAGGAACAGACAGCACTACGTAACCTGAAAGAAGACACCAGCATAATAATCCTACCAGCAGACAAGGGCAACGCCACGGTGGTTATGAACACATCTGACTACCAAACCAAATTAACCAACCTACTCCAAGACTCCACATACAAACCCCTAAATACAGATCCCACCACCTACCTGGAAAAAACCACCAGAACCAAGATAAAAGCCTCCCCCATTAGCGAAGAGATCCAGCAAAGAATCATTCCCAGAGAGAAATCATCCAGATGCCCTAAACTCTATGGTCTCCCCAAGATACACAAAGAAGGAACCCCACTCAGACCTATAGTCAGCTCCATAGGCTCACCTCTACAAAACCTAGCCAAATTTCTCGCCAAACAACTACAGCCCTATGCAGAATCCATCACCTCACACGTAAAAAACTCATTCCAGTTTATAGAGATCATAAAGAAACAAAGCTTACAGCCCAGCGACCTACTAGTGAGCTTCGATGTCATATCCCTCTTCACCCAAGTGCCTATCAAAGAAGCCTTGACAGCTATTCAAAACAAATATAACCCCCCCAAACACATCTTAGATCTGACCAACCACTGCCTATCCAACACATACTTCATCTATAACGGACAAAAATACAAACAAACAGAAGGAGCACCCATGGGATCACCCCTCTCACCTGTCATTGCCAACCTCTACATGGAACACTTTGAAACCCAAGCTCTAGAAAAATCGGATCACAAACCCAAACTCTGGCTCAGATACGTAGACGACACCTTCATAATCTGGCCACATGGGAAAGAAAAACTGGACAACTTCCTCACACACCTCAACAGCCTACACCCCAAAATACAGTTCACCATGGAAACAGAAGCTAACAACCAACTTCCCTTCCTGGATGTCTTAGTCTACAAGAAATCCAATGGCTCCCTAGGACACACCATCTACCAGAAGAAAACACACACAAACCGCTATCTGCATGCTCTCTCACACCACCACCCAGCACAGATCAACTCTGTAGCCAAGACACTCATCTCCAGAACAAAACGCTTAGCTGACGAACAACACCTAAAACCCGAACTACACACTCTCACCAATGTACTAACATCCAATGGATTCCATAGAAATAAGATTACAAACCTAATCCAAAAAGAAACCCCCACTAAAATCCAAGACAAAGAACAAGAAAACGGCAAAGCCCTCCTCCCATACATAAAAGGCACCACAGACAGAATCAGTAAGATCCTCCATAAACACAACATCAAAACAGCATTCTGCACAAACAGAAAAATATCCACCATCCTTAGAAACCCCAAAGATAAAATTGAATTAGAAAATCAAGGAGTATACGAAATCCCATGCACCACTTGTCCCACCACATACATCGGACAAACCAACAGAAGAATAAGTGCACGCATTGAAGAACATAAGAACTCAGTCAAAAAAGAGGAACCAACATCTTCCCTGGTCCAACACCTTAAAGCCACAGGACATGAAATTGACTTTAAAAATACCAGAACCATTGCCAAAAGTGAACATTTTAATAACAGAATAATCAGAGAAGCCATCGAGATAGAAAAACGCCCACACAGCATGAACAAGCGAGATGATACCTCCCGCCTACCAGCCATTTGGAAACCTGCCCTTATTGACAAACGACTCCCTAACCCCAAAATCTTAAACCCCTCTGCAACTCAGACTAACCTGAGCACAACCAAACAGAACACTCCCCCAGCCAATCAGAGCACAGCCAAGCCCCTAACCATTCAGAACACACCTCCACCCAATCAGAACACAGCCAAGCTCCCATCCAATCAGTTCATACCCTCACTGGCAGTTAAAAGGAAGAAACAGCTAAAACCACACATTGCTGCTCAAAGCAAGAAGCTGAAAACACCAGCCTGAAGATGACGAATGGGACTTCGTCGAAACGTCGCCAAGACACTTCCAATTTTACGCGGGAGAAAACCCGAACAACCAAAGACCTATATATATATATATATATATATATATATATATATATATATATATATATATATATATATATATTTCCCAATATTCCTAAAAATAATAATCACATCAATATATTATTCCTTTTCTATCCAATCATTCTGATTGCCTTATCATAGATGCTGTTACAGTCCTTATTTAAATTTGTTTCTCCCATAAATTTCTAAGTATTCTTACTGGTTAAGATTTTCTCAAAAATTAATTACATTTAAAAATTTAAGTCTATTTTCTCCATATGAACCATCTCAGCACTTTTACATTTCTTAAGGAATAGATAAAACAGTGAAAAAAAGAAAGGAGAGCAAGAGTAAAGAAACATAAAAAATAACATACTACTTAAAATATATATCCCTCCTAAGCTAATATATATTTGTTTCCAAGATTTCTTATTCTTTTTAGCCATAATTAAAATATATTTAATCTTTAAATATTCCATTTAATACATTTAATCATCTAGTCTTTTAACTCTTATTCAAAACATTTTTATCCGTTATAATTTTCTTAAATTCAATCACATTTAAATATCTAAAATATTTCCTTCATCTATGCCATTTCAACCTTTTTATATTACTCATATCAACAAATAGAATAAAAAAGGGGGGAAAGCATACTATATTATTTAGGGGATTCATCCCTCTAAAAATGACATATATAT